ACTCCCTTCAGTCAGTGTGATCCTCCAGGAGCGAGGAAAAGTGAGAAGCTGAGGTCTGCTCAGGCCTCCCTCTCTGTGCAACTCAGTAGGAGCTTCCAAGAAGAGTTCCAGTGGCCAGCTGATGTGTAGTCTTCCTGTCACCTTCTCCTGTATATAATGTCAGGTTCCCCAAGTGAAGATCAGCTGTGGATTCTGGTCAAAAACCAAGCAACACACAAGTCATAAGTAGTTTCTGTGGACAAAAAGATATCACCATTAAAAGTTCAGTCAGCATTAACCCTTCCCTCCCCATATGAACAGCATGTCAGCTAGTCCAAATCAGTTATTATGACAATATTTAAGGAGGAGTTAGAAGTAAAGTCTACCTATTTTGCAACTTAAGAGAAATTAGTCAATCTAAGCAAATTCATCATTGCCCTTGACCATCACAAAAAAAGTGATCTTGTGCTGTGGGGAAGAGACAAGGATTTGTAAACCAAGAGCGAGGTCCTGCCTACCAGAGGACGCTTCTTTGTGAAGTCCCCAGGTGAGTCACCGTCACCATGTCAGAACAAGATGCAAAACCCTCAACAGGGGACTTGGGGAATAAGAAGGAAGGAGGGTACATTCAACTCAGTCATTGGACAGGACAGCAGTGAGATTCACTTCAAAGTGAAAATGACATCACACCTCAAGAAATCCAAAGAATCATGCTGTCTAAGATGGGGAGTTCCAATGAACTGGCTCAGGTTTCTCTTGGAGGGTCAGAGAAATGCTGATAATCACACTTCAAGAGAACTGGGAATGGAGGAGGAAGATGTGAGTGAAGTTTGTCAGGAACAACAGCAGGTCATTCAATGGTTTAGATATTCTTTTTCTTTTCCCTCAATCTTTTCTTATTGTTAAAAATAGTACCTTAATAATTGGGTGGTCAAAATGGAATTGATAAGTGACCCTCCCCCACTCGTCTCTTTAAAACCTCTGGTAATTTGAATTCTAGTGCCCATTATTCATTATTTTTTTTAATATACTTTATTGGTTTTTTACAGAGAGGAAGGGAGAGGGATAGAGAGCCAGAAATCGAACCTGGGACCCTTGAGTCCGCAGGCTGACGCTCTATCCACTGAGTCAAACCAGTTAGGGCGTCCATTATTCATTATTGTTGATTTTCATTGTGCTGAGTTTTGGTGATCAAGCCTCAGCCTCCTTCATATTACCCTCTCCTTTTGAAATAGTACGTGTGTGCACAGGGAGGCCACCCTTTTCAGTACTGTGCATTTTGATGCTTGTGATAAATTAAGACTCTCTTTTAGAAATATATAATGAAAAGTTTACAAGTAAACTCATAAAGATTTCCTGCCCAGAAATGGCAAAATGTTGGTACGACTATAGGTAGAAATTGCAAAAGAGGTTACTTATAAAATATGGGTTCTTCATACATGAAGTCATAAGATTTTCTCTCCTATTCTGAATACCTAGAATATTCTATGATTTACTTTTTTAAAAATTAACCATTTGAATTCCATTTCAGTGTTTCTCTGCTCTCTTCTAGCCAAAAATGTCTCTTCTACTTCCTTCCTTAAGCTTCATTCATGTCCCTTCATCACAGAATTCTCAGATCCACTTCATCTCCTTTCTTCCTCACAGTTATTTCAAACTGGTCCCCTTTCTCCACTCCAAATCCAACATCTGCTTCCCTGTTCCCACATCCCATCCCCACCCAACAAATCTCCATTGAGATAAATTGAGATTGAGAAAAGACCAAGGCTGGCATTAAAGTGCCATCTGCTTGTAGGTTATATGGGCTGGACTTCAGGTCTGATCTTAGTCCGCCTGAGTATTGGGGATTGGATTTTTGATTATTGGTTCCTCCAGAGACAGATGTAACCAGGAAAATAGTAACTGCCTCCCTTTCGGTTTGGTGTCAGCATACACATCAATTTAGGGAAACCTCTTGGAACCTCTGGTTTTATTTTTTAAATATATTTTTATTGATTTCAGAGAGAAAAAGAGAAGAGAGAGATAGAAACATCAATGTTGTAGAAACATCAATGAGGAGAGAGAATAATTTACTGGCTGCCTCCTGCAGGCCTAACACTGGGGATTGAGTCTGCAACCCTGTATATGCCCTTGACCAGAATCGAACCCAGGTACTCTTATCAGCTGAGCCAAACTGGCTAGGGAGGGACTTCTGGTTTTAAACAAAAAGAATTTGACACCAGACATTGAGACATTCTAGAAGAGGATAACCACAGGCAACTTCAGACCAGTACTTCAGGGCACTTTCCAGGTGCAGATAGACATTAAGTCACCTCTTAGGTCAGATTGGGATCCTGGTATCTGTATTTTTAGCAAGCATTTTGATGAGGTAGGGCAAGGCTGAGGGGCACCAGCAATAATGAAAACACGTGTCTTAAAATAACCTGAATCCAAGAGATGTTTGGCTTATGAGGTAAAGTCAAGGCCCTGCTAGAGTAGCCACCAAGAAAGCCAAGGGTGGGAGCAATACCTCCATGGCTCTCAGTTTGGTCCCACCCAGTATCATCCCCACTCCCAGCTTACCTGGAGCCTGCTCCTTGGAGTGAGTCCCTGAAGTGTGTCTCCAAGAAGAGTCTCTGAAGCCAGTCTCCTACCAGTTAAATGCTTAGTAATGTGAGCCTGGCCTATATATACCACTAGGAGGGTGAATCTCTTTAAGACCTCACCCATCAAAGCCTCCTCCCTGGAGGTGGGACTTGTGGGCGAGGGTGAGGGTAGGAGGATGTTCAAAAGTCTGGTTGATGGGATCTCCTCTTATTCCTGAAGGCTAGGAGGGACTAACCTTGTTAATATGCATAATCTGATTTACACCTTTGTAATCCTCCCTTGAATGTCTCAACACCCTTTATCCCATTTGGGCTGAGGAGTAAACTGAAATGAAAAGTAAAATCTTGCCCTAGCGGTTTTGGCTCAGTGGATAGAGCATCAGCCTGCGGACTGAAGGGTTCCAGGTTTCATTCTGGTCAAGGGCACATACACAGGTTGCAGGCTCAATCACCAGTGGGGGGCGTGCAGGAGGCAGGTGATCAATGATTCTCTCTCATCATTTATGTTTCTATCTCCCTCTCCCTTCCTCTCTGAAATCAATAAAAATATATTTAGGCTCCTCCTCGGGGCCTGTGTTTCTGGAGCCTCTAAGCCAAAGAGCTTGTTTGGGGAGCGGGGTGCCCCCTCTACCAGAGTGGTGTGGGTGCGCTGGGCAACCCCTGGCATCTGCATGTGAGTTGATTGCCGGTGGGACCAACTGGGGGGCGGGCACTGCAGCTGGACGGAGGCCACAGGGGTAGTGGCTGTTTATACTGGGCGCCCGGGCGTGGCCTGCGCCCACCCGATGTTTACATGTGTGAGCGGCAGTGGGGTCCCTGCCTGGCGCCCACTCGAGAGCCTGCGGAGTCCCTCGGAGGAGGTGCTAGTCCTGGTCCCACCCCGCATGCCTTACGCCTCGCCCGCAGCCGCCCGGACACACGCAGTGGCCACAGATCCCGCACCCACTCGGGATCGCCGTACACTTACACTTTTTTTATTCCCAGACGCGTGTCCCCTCCAGCCCCGACCTGGGGTCAGTAACTTATTTGCCCCGCTTCGCGGAGGCTCCTCTGGGTTTGTCCTCAGATGGTCTGTGGGTGTCTTTCAGAAAATGGTTATTTTATATGATTTGTCATGGAATTTGTTCTAATAAATCATTCTATCACGTGGCAGCCTCCGGCGGCGGCGCCGTGGCCTTGTTTCTCGGTGGCGGCGTGTGGCTGGGCAGGGAGTCCCTTCCTGGGACGGAAACTCCCATTTGACCCCCAAGCCCCGGGGACACTGCAATGCAGGGGCATCGCCACCAGGGGGCAGCCGAGGCCAGAAGGCAGAGTGGAAATTTCCGGAGATTTGCTCCTCCAAGAGAAAAGCTATTTTATTCCAACGGGTCCAGAGGGCAAAGCCCAGA